TGGTCTGTGGTGTGTCGTGGGTCCAGCCATTGAGGGGCATCGGTGTCATTGTTGTAGGGGGCGTGGAGGAGGGGGAGGGGGAGGAGGAGGGGGAGGGGGAGGGGAGGAGGAGGGGAGAGGAGGTGGAGGTGGAGGTGGAGGAGGAGGAGCAGGAGGAGCAGGAGGAGCAGGAGGAGCAGGAGGAGCAGGAGGAGGAGGAGGAAGAGGAGGAGGAGGAGAAGGAGGGGGAGGAGGAGGGGGAGGGGGAGGGGAGGGAGGGAGGGAGGAGGAATTCATCCGTACTACAAAATCAATCTTTCCTAATTGCTTCCAGACAGTTTCTTTCACAATTTGTATTGCATTACCAGAACGCAACATTTTTTTAAGTACTAGGAAGTCTAGCATACAAACCAGCAGTTGGTTCATTTTAATAACTCTATATCACACATATAAGCGCAATGATAAATGATAAGAGAGAACATCTTGTTTTTAGACAATTAAAAAAACATGTGCATACAAGATAACGCCTTTTTATATCGATAAGGTCGTGTTTCGTTATTTGCCTGAATTATATATAAAGATATCTTTCTTCACAGACCCACTGCGGAGAATAGTCCGAACCATCAACAAACAATGCAATTGGTGGGAGTATCACACGTTTTTATATCGAATTGATTGTCCTTGTCATGACATTGCGTTTAATTATATAATGAGCATTAATCCTTATACTGAGGGATTGAGGTATTTTTATCAACTGTTCAGGAATATTCTTGCTAACGTGAATTTTGTTTATGTCTCTGTAAGAACTGTTTTATTGTCAGTATAGTACAAGCAATGTGAAGATTTATCGTAAACATATGCCTCATCGTGGAGACCGATCTCAAGAGAAATTAAGGTAACTATTCGGTCAATTATGATGATTTGTGTCATCACCTGTGTGCCCTGAAGACTGCTTGAGGTATTTCTGGTCTCAATGTAAGGAGTAACACCCCTTCACATACATTGTATCTCTTTTTGGATGACATCCAAGTTACATTCTTGTTTTGATCAAGTGAGCCGGATTTGATTTATGAGAATATACTTACTTCATACACACTTGACTGTCTATCTTGCATGTGAGCCAACAAAATTATGTTTATATGATGACCAATTATTTTTTCTTTCATATAGAAAGATGAAATTGTCTTCCTGATTTAATCATTGTCACGTTTAGAGAGAGAGAATGTGAGCGAGAAAGAGGGAGAGATAGAGAGAGATAGAGAGAGAGAGAGAGGGTGGAGATGGAAGGTGGCCATTATGGCCATATCATGGCTGTGATGCTGAAATAACATGATGTACCTGTATAATGAGTATCATGTATTGCTAGATGATAGACCCATTTCATGAATATAATTCAATTTCTTGACAATTCAGCGATGTGCAATTTTCTCCTATTTCTTTCATTTGCACGGTTTATGGTACAGTGCACCGTTATTTGCTACAAAATTGGCTCTTTTTCTCAATTGATATTTCCTCATTAAAAGGTTCCTTGTCGCGTTTCTATGGTTACCATGAGACGAAGGAGTTCCTTGGAGTTTAATTGTGGAAACCTCCGCTCCTGGTATAGTTCAATCATACATGACGAAGCATATTACCATTGAGTAATTTTCCTTATACGTCTTTCTTTGACCAGGCTTGTACATGACTGCTACTCTGTTGTGAACAGTATTCTACTTATTCTGAGTCGGTGAAAGCAAGGAGCTATTAGCCCATTAGGGTAAACCTTCAGCCTAACAATTCATTTGTTAAAGAGAAGGTTGAGTTCTGGGAAAAGGTGAACAATAATTTGTGAGCACTATCATTCTTATTATGCAAGTGTGGAAGAACATCAGATAAGACGTGTTCCCTGAAAAGCATGGCTCTTCAAATGCCTTCATATTCTAAATATGTCATGTAACATCGTAAAACTCGGGGTAGGATTTTGACGCCACGAGTTCGTGTAGTCCCATATACATCTTTCTGTGCACAGTGTATGTAACTTTACCAAGACTTGGCCAAATTTCTTATCATTTTGATGATTGCAGAACCTTGCAATACACACAAATTCTTATATGCTAGATGATCAACCTTTTCTGGTCGATTCCACACCGTTTCTTTCACAATGCAATCGCATGACCATAACTCAACTTCATCTTTAAACCCAACGCTGGTTCTAAAATCATGTTTGAGAAAAATGAAACAAAGACTTCGAACTATGTTTCATTTAATTAACCTGTTATTGCACAAAAGCCTTAAAGGGACTTGGTAACCTATTGTTCAGATGAGATATAATGGTGCTTAGGTAAGTCACTTCAATGCTAGATGTATAATTAAAGATAATATTTTGAAAGTTTGTCTGAAAACAGATCATTATTAATGATAAAAATTGGGGAAAACTGATCTGATCAATTCCTGATTTCTCCCAACTATTTAATTATAATTTTATTAAATTTTAGGAGAATGTAAATCGTCACAAAGCAATGAATTGGCTTTAAATACCACTCAAAACTTTTAAGTGTTGAGTTTTAAGGTTTCTTAAAGCTTGTGTAGTTGTGCTATGTCTTCTTTTCACGGAAAACGGTGGGAAAATTAAAAATTGGTTTGGATAATTTACTGTTAAAGGGTTCTGCACAGTGACGCCTTAAAAAAAACACCATAAATATCTTTGTGGTTTGAGAATTTGTTCAGTTTTATTTTGCATGATACAGGGTTAGAAGTTCAGTAAAAGGAATATAATAAGTAACATTTCCTACAAAAATTACGCAGTTTTATCACCAACCTTCAACAATATTACCGGTTCACTTTAATTCAGCCTTGGGTTTCATTGTTAGTAGAATAAGGACCTCTTAGTTTATATCAAGGATTTCCTGTTTATACGTCTCGAATATTATACATGTGTGATTCCGATTATACTCGTTACCCTTATTCCAGCAAGAAACAGAAGGACAAGCGATTGATTCAAACTGAATATAGCAAAAAAACCGGTACTATTATACGTGTTAAAAGAGGCATCATTCTGTTCTACTCGTATTTCTTTACGTTTTATGTATTGGTGTATGCGTCCATTGTTGACCGGCCCTCTAAAACGTGATCTTTGCTGTGTTTTTTCTACTTCGTAATACATTGAAAATATTTATGATGAAATCAAAGTTTCTTTCGGATCAAAGCCAGCTTGGTTCGGCATGATAATACTGAACAGTGATAAAGTTATCCAAAATATTTAGCATCAAAATACGTTCTCAGTTGGTTCTCAGACTAATTTTATCCCCGTTCTAGTTAATGTGGCATTTGAATATCAGTATATCAATATATCAATATTTCTTGGTGTATAATTTCTTGTTTATACTATCTTTTTCAAACATCAGAACATTTTTCCATCGAGAATTATATCTCAAACTCCAGCGCTCATTGTTTCATCGATTCCTTAACTTCCTTTGTTCTATTGGTTAGACTACATGTATATTTCACTTATCCTGCACGTGATAGATGAAGTCCTATCCCACTGTGAATCTCGGCAAGACAGTAAACGACCTGAATGCAAACGACCGAAGAAGAAGAAGATGCATTTTTAATGTCATTGCTTGCGAAGGCATCCTTCCTCTTGATCGGTTAAACAAAGTACAGAAGGGATATTGGGATGGGTACAGATTGGCTATTAGTGGCTCAGGATGTCGGCCTTGTATCTAAGCGCTTCCAAACTCCTCAATCTATCTTCCATTACAGTAATGAGATTTTTATTGCAAAAACACTGCTTATACCGCCCTAGTATATGCACATCTAATGGTGGTTCTTCCTCACCGATAATCCTCATTTTTATCTAACCGTTTTTTAAATGGATGCATGTACTATACGAGGACACAGGTACATGTACATGTAGCTTCCACCTCAACATTTGCAATACATAGGCTAAGAATGTGCGGCGATCGTAACACAGCTTGTTATTTTTTGTTCACGACCTTAATAAAAAGAAAACAATATCCCACATCTCTATGATCTTACAGTTCCTTCATATTTGTTGCCAGCAGGGTTTTTTGGCTGCATGTTGCTGGGGCCGTCAACTAAATCTGAAGTTTTTGTTACGCTGTCCTAGATCTCGTGAGCTTATCGAATACGATGAAAAGATGTACCCCAGATATAGATACCAATGCTGTGTTGGGATGAATAAACCGCAATATTAGTATTTTGTTTCCCCCCATTGTTATTTCTTTTTGGATGTACATGTAGAGACTCCAGGGAGCAATATGACTCGAGTACAACTGTTAATATCTACATGTAGTGTATTTCGTGTTCGGTGGCAGAGGCAGGGGGGGGGGGGGTGTATTGGTCGTAACAGGTTGATGAACTGGGAAAGAATGAGCAGCGAGTGAAGGCGAGGGTTTCATATTCATTCCCGTGAATCCTATCCCTCTCTCTCTCTCTCTCTCTCTCCCTCTTTCTCCTGTTTCCTTTACATCTTTGACATTCGATTGTTACGTCACTCTCTGTTGCCGTCCTTTGAACAGCATCTCTGTGAATGGAATCGATTTTGTTAAAATGATATCAGTACAGTCCCATAGTCTAAAACGAATTCCCTTTGCCTTTACGCCATATCTTTGAATAGGCCTAGAGTAAAAGACTGGTCTATTACGTTAAAGAAGTTTTGTTTTTGTTTTTTTGTTATAAAAACCGTTTAAACATCCATGGTTTATTGCAATAATTTGTCAAATAATTTGTCAAATTATAATCGTAATTCTTTTGATTCTGATATTTTATAGGTTTTAACTATACTTCATTGGATCTGCTGTGGACGATCAACAATGGTGTAAATAACTCTCTGCGTTCACCTAACACAATGCCCTCCATGATGACGTCACGAACTTCTTGACCAACAAGTATGCCAGTATCCAAGTAACACCGACCCCAAACTAGACAGACTACCGAAAAGGCACTTAGAGCTGGCACTGGGAGAGGAACCCGTGAAGCCGGTGCCGTGTTGAAGCCGACGGACCCGTTTACACGTGAAGATGAGACTATGGCGGAAGCTCACGTCCTGCAAGGTACTTAGTAGCACTCAGACATCCGATGGATGGAAATTATTTATTGATTTCACAGGACGTACATGTTTAAAACGTCCTGGGGTGTTTCACCAAAATATAATGCATTCGGTGCAAACACACCAGAAATTTGCAGGTGGTGTATGACGCTTAGGCCTGAAGAGGTGCTATGTAGGGAAAGAAAATTAGAAGTTGTCCTCATACATTGACCTCAGTGTGCCGGGATGTGTGTTTGTAATACACCAATCGTCCCAATAACACATACCGTGTGAGTCAAAAAAAAAGTTTACACCTAGAAAATTGCTAATTAATTTTAAAATCATCAATGAACACTAAATTATTATACATCTAATGAAAGAGTGTTTTATCCCATATCATTTGATACCATTTTTGTGTGGTATTTGTTCACGCTTGGATGAACAGGTGGCATTGTTTGCGAGAGTGCAAAAATCGACCTGCGCCAAAGTGATGCCTTCAGTATGTATTATGTTGGGATTAGCGGAGTGAGAGAATGGATTGAATGCATCAAATGAAATGCATTGCATATGTCTTTTGCAAAGAGCAAAGTCACACACACCCACACACACGTGAACAAATGTTCGTTGATATTTGATATTCGATATTTGATATGTCTAGCATGATTAATTTTGTTAGGAGTGTTATTTGGATCTGCAAATACCGAATTAATACCCAAAACCCAATTGTTTTATTCAAATATCACATAGGCAACTTTGGCGCAATTCGATTTTTGCACTCTCGCAAAAATGTTTCCTGTTCATCCAAGCGTGAACACATACCACACAAAAATGGTACCAAATGATTTGGGATAAAACACTTTTTCATAAGACATATAACAGTTTAATGTTCATCGATGATTTTTTTAATAATTTGCAATTTTCTAGGTGTAAACTTTTTTTTGACTCACTCTGTAGTTATCGCCTCTCACCCTTATACTTAATGAAACACCTCTCTTTCTGTACAACACTACTTTTGGTATGAATACGGAATGGGACTTTCATCCTTACTATTTCCAGAGCGAGTGATATGGCAGGGATGCGAGTCTTATTCCAGGGTCATCAAACATTAATCATGACAGGGAAAAGGCTCCCCTTAATTTGGGAGCCAACTTTTGTATACCCCCCCCCCCGGATACAAAATGATACCACAAATACTATCAACGAAATTTTAAAATAATTGTTCTAAATTTTTGCGTTACCTAAGGAAGTGTTGGTCTAGCTAGGTCCCTTCCCCGCCCATCCACACGTAATGACTACGTCTCTACTCACCCCCCCCCCCTTTCGCCACACCAATTTTCAGAGGTCTGTATAACTCGTCAGGACCCAATCTCCTATTGCTCGCCTAATGGAATCCTTAATTTAGAGAAATCGACTCACTCGGGTCTAGATTCACGAGGAAATGACGTTATTGTAGGTGTAAAGGAAATGAAGTATTTGTGGCTGGTTTAATGTCAAGGTGCCTATCTGGTAAGGTGTCTTACTCTCATCGATATTGGACAAAGACTTAACACACGTCACAAACCTATATATTTTCCTTGGAACGATGTAATATACTATGATACATACTCTGTTATACTTCAAAGGAAATTCGGCCATGAAGGGAAAGGAAAGAATTACAAGAGAGAGAGAGAGAGAGACAGAAGAGAGAGAGAGAGAGACAGAGAGAGATAGAGAGAGAGAGATAGAGGTTGCACATTGTTCCAATTTTAATTTTCTTTTAGAAACATCGTTCGTTTATTAACTGACCTGTTAATTAGCTTTCCTTGTATGTTTAAAAGGAAGGTGTCATCCATTAAAACTAATAGCAGTGCATTACACTTGATGGATGTGCATGTAACTCAACATTTTAATAGATTCATTAACTCGTGACCTTTCTTCACGGAAGGATCGTTATTAAATTCTTTGTGTTGGGGGCGGATGAACGGTGAAAATTATATTTCATTAGTAAACCTAGACAGTGATGGAAGACTCCTAGAATATCGTATTAACCGTGTTTCGGAGTGGTAATTCGTATCGAATTTGATAATACCGACATGAATCAACATCGATTTTCTTCATCTTTTTCTCAAAAGGAGGGAGACTCAAACAGTCAAATAAAATGCATAACGAAATTTAATTCGATAAAGAATTGCATTGCGTGTTGATTTAAGGGCCTTTTTTCATTTTAATCAGAATTCATATAAATTTGAGCCTGCTAGGTGGTTGATTTTCTGCTTTAAATTGATTTTGATGAATGTTGAAAGGACCCCGTGCCTGTGCATATTTGTCTCGGTTAGTTTTACTCAGAGAGTAAATGAACGAATATTGGACTTTAAACTCGTCCTCGAAAATGGGCTCTAGATTGGTTTAGAGCCCCCGTCTCTCTCTCTCTCTCTCTCTCTTTTTCTCTCTCTCTCTCTCTCTCTCTCTCCTCCCCCCTCTCTCTCTCTCTCTCTTTCTTTCTTCTTCTCCATCTCTATTTTACATCTCTCTACCCCTCCCTCCTTTTCCCTCCCTCTCCACCCCTCCCCCTCTCTCTTCCACGTTTCTCTGAACCTATCCCTCTTTTTTCGCCCCTGCCTATTCCCGTAGTCTTCTTCTTTTTTCCCTATATCACAGCTTAATTGTTTTTTCCACTCGTCTTGCTCGTTGTGTATTGGTCTACGCTTTCCATTTTCTCCCTTTTCCCGTCAATATTCTTTCACAAAATATCTCTCATGTTTCCTAATTATGCACCCATGCACCATTCTATCTTACATTGAACGCAGGTAATACCCTAACCTTTCTACATGTGGCACAGTTTTCATGGCTTGTGCCCGCCAGTTTGCGTCCACCCCATTCTAATTTCTACACATTAACCCCCCACCAACCACATACCCTTGTTCCAAACCGTGTGAGGTGTCAGTATGATAACGATTTTTTGGTATTATTATTTTTTAAAGATGATCATTACAAGACCATTTTAGTCGATATGTTGGGGTATCCATTACCTTGTAGCAGACAGGTGTGTTTCGATTATGGGGGCTTACAGTAGTAAGACGGTTCTCATCCAGGAAAGAAGGTACAATTGTATGTAATGATTATTTCATTCCTGTTCACGAATTTTGTTTGCCTTATCCTTCCCTTCTTTAAAAAAACACATGCATTTTACTCTCCTGTAAAAGTATAGTATTGAAAATGTAATATTCAATGTATATTTCCCATCAGATTTATTCAAACAGAAAGTTTTATCTTGTGCTATCATTGAGTACTAATCAATTCAGACTTTATGCCAAGCCGTTTCCTATATTTTACTCATGCCCGAGGAGACTACCCCCTCCCCCTCCCTCACGCGCTCAAACAGCTGTTACCTCAAGAGATTCTGAGGGCGATTTTAATTAAGCTTATTCACTTCATTCTTTGATCACGCAAAGCTCGTGTTATTGCAAACATCTTTAAAGTATTCATGTATCGATTATCTACTATCCTCTTTAATTTTCTGTATTAATTACTTATTGCGGCACATTGATTTGATTATCTATGTCAGCGTTAATTGTTTTTAATTTACGACTCATTGGCTGGGCTCAGATATTTTTTGTATTGAGAGACAATTGCTCTTTATTGACTAAAACAAACTCATAGGGTGCTTTCGCCATTTCAGGCTACATCTATTGTTCTGTGTTATCTTGGTGTTTTGCACTGACAAATAAAACAATACAAAAGTATAGAATTTGTCATGAGACTGAAAAAAGCTGGGCTGTATTGCCCGAAAACCCTAACGGTCATTTACAGGCAACATTTTTTTTTTGTATTATGAGAAGAGTCGTCGAAAGGTTATGATGCATTGTTGATGGGAATCACGTTTTGTTGAATATAACCTTCCAATTTTCAAATAAATCACGAATTTTTCATGGAATTACTGTCAACGAATGTGAAACATACTATAAATACTATACACAACTCCCACGCCCGCTTGCACGCGCATGCATCGTATGCACATTATCTCATCAAGCATTAAAACCTACATGAACGGGCTTCAATATTATTTTTGTGTATACAACTTTAATCAAGTGGCGATTAAATTAAAGGTTGTACGTTTAAAATAACTTAAATTCAACATAATCCTGTTTAGTATAAGTCAATATCCAACTTAGTCTGAATGTCTACAAACTTGACTAACAGTGAACAAACTCCATGATTTGTTCATGTATATAATTTCATCCTTGTACTGTACCAATCTTGTGCGGGGACGCATTATTTATCTGCGAAAACACTTCAAAAATAATAGTTAAATGTAAAGCCTTAAAATCGGTCGCAGAGCTCAAATATTTTTCCTGCAAGGCAACATTAGCACCAAGGCGCTTGCAGCATTCCAGGAATTATTAATGTTAATACATGAATAAATATAATTAATGCTACTTCGGAAGCGTGATAACCTTTTCCATATGACAATTACTCTAGACAAATGTTAATTTCGTAACAGCTGCTCTGCAAATTCAGCGTTAATTTGTTACGTTAACCCTAGTAATTGTACTGGCATTATCTGTACCCACCCCATCTCTCGCTCTCTTTCCCCCCCCCCCCCCCCTCTCTCTCTCTCTCTCTCTCTCTCTCTCTCTCTCCCTTCCCCTTCCCCGCCCCTTCCCTTTCTCTCTCCTATTTCCTTTTCTCCCACTCTCTCTATAATCATGGAAGGTAGGGTCCATGGTATAAATAATCTGTTTCCCTGTTTCTATACCGCCCAGCACGTAACCCCCCCCCCCCACATCCACTCTCTCTCTCTCTCTCTCTCTCTCTCTCTCTCTCTCTCTCCCTCCCTCCCTCCCTCTCTCTCTCTCTCACTCTCGTGACGGTCTTTAGATTTGTAACTTTTATTATTTCGTTCTTGTATTTATTTCCGTATATATATACTATTTTAAGAAAACAGGCCTTTTTCGTTCGCTTGGTGGCAGCTGTCCGTCACTTACAAACACTCCTTCGTGAATGCACTTTTGGAAGACAATCATTACATCGTTTTTGAATTAATTATTACTCCTTATCCACTCCTTCCTCGCACTCGATCATACAGGTACAGGTTTGAAATTAATAGTCTGCTTTTGTATAGCGCTTAATTAAGCGCTTTAACAGATATACTATTACCCCGGTCATTGGATTCAATACTTGCCCGCAAACACTGTGTGCACAATCCCGATTATTGATTCGATTATTGAGGTATTATTGCATCATCAAGTTAATCATGTTATCTATCGACTTCTAGTTATTGAATCGTGTTGTGAGGGATAATGACGTCATTCGTGTATATGGACACGGGTCGGTCAGTAGTTTTACTCCATGAAATAATTGCTCGATACGATCTACATAATAAATAAATGCTAAACAGACAACAAGAAAACTGATAAAACGAAATAAAAATGAAGTAATCATTCCGTCATTGAAGAGGTGAGTCCTGAGGTTATTCTTATCAACTGACATGGAAGTATGGACAACAGACAGGGTGGTGTTCCGTATTTTGAGCTCGTAATGAAAGAAACCACACTACCCCGATACCATCATGTTCTGACTAAAAACAAAATTGCATTTGAAAATACCCTTCTTTGAAGCAATCATATCATTAGGCCTACCATCCATACATAATTACCATAAATCTATCAAATTTGTTAAAAGTCAATGGGGTAGCATGCAGTCATCTGTGTAGCTGAAAGAATAGATAAAAGAAGATAAATGGCATGAGGAGGAAGTGGTAGTAGGTGAAGAGAAAAAAATGAGATGAGACGGATGATGGGATGTGATAAAGTACGGCTGGATGTGATCGAACTTCTCTGCCCTGTGAGACGCACTCTGGGGTCCACCAAACCTCTCCTAGTGGGACGGTATAATAGGATCAAAATATAAGCTGCTAATATGAGTGCACGTAGATGACTCTGATAAACTAAAGCGCCCGAATTTCAGCAGTCTATACGTATGATACATCGCTGTCAATATCACTTAGGAATTGATTGATATCGGGAAAGGGTTGGAGGGAGGGGAGGCAAGCAGGGAGGGGTCCCAAAAAGACAGTGAACTCATCGCCTATCCATCCTTCATTTTTCTCCTTTACTTTGGTGTTTGTCACGTATTTCTCATGTAGGCGTACTTCTCATGATAATGGACCTTTGTATAGCAGCATTGGTAGCATTGCCTCCCATATAGTAACCAACTGCCCCCCCCCAAATAACTGCCCCTATATTGTAACCCCCTCCCCTAGCCCCCCTCTCCCTCCCTCTCTCTCTCTCTCTCTCTCTCTCTCTCTCTCTCTCTCTCTCTCTCTCTCTCTCCTAGCAATGCGTCCATGCTACTACTGCGAAGCTATACACACATTTTCTCTTTGGATAACCTCTTAATAATTTTGAGTTGAACACGATTTCAGATCTGTTTATGGTATAATATATAGAAAGATGAGTGAGTTTGTCTGGTATTTTTGTACCCAATTAATTTAATTCTAGATTCCCTCCTCTGACACCGTCTTTATCAATCAAGCTGGACGGCGACCTTTGTGCTCAAAGGTGTATGGCCCCGTTTCGTCAACCGGGAGAAAGGGGGGGGGGGGCTGGCCTTACGTTCATTACCCCCGAATCAACTTTCCTGTTTTGAACTTTTGCGACGGAGCGATTTACAGCAGATATCACAAAATTAAAAGAAGTTCTAAAAATAGAATCGCCAACTCGCTGCCCGTATATCTGGTGGCAGCCGGTCGAACGAGGCGGCAGCTGCCCGAATATTTGTAACTTCAAAATTCTCGGGTGGTTGGGGGGAGGGGGGGGGGGGGGGCGAAGGCAGATCCATCAGCCAGTCTCCCGCTTTGTACGCCTATGTGAGACAAAATTTCTGTCCAAAAGAGGGGATTGCCTGCTAGATATTTCCATCCCCATAACATTGTGTCAGGAATTTCCTTATTGAGTACTTGAGATTATCAATAACATCTTACAGCTATGAACAAATGTATTGAAACTCTTCAGGTTTGGTACAATGCTTTAAAGCTGTTGCATTAAGCAATGTTTGGCACTCTATATGTCTTTGCAATCATGATAATCTGATAATGATTATGTACATTTATAAATTGTTAATTGTCAACTATACGCATTCTCCAACCGTTTTAACATGTAAAAGAGACTAGGGTACGAGTATTTTCCCTCTGTCGAACAGGTTTTTTCAATATTCATCTGTAATGCTGTCTGAGATAATGATTAATGTTATTCACAAGATAAATGAACATGTAACAATGGTTTTACAAAATTGGGTATAATATATTACTTCCCAGGGAGCGGAGGGTTTGCACACAGTGCGAATTAACAATTGAATCTATTGACCGGGATAAATAATAGTTACAATAATTATGCGCTTAGAAACGTAATAAAAGCGCTTAGAAACGTATAATTACGCTCAAAGTAACTGACTTATTGTCGGAAGTAGCAATCGTACACCTGCTTGATTATAATATTCATCCTTCATGATCATCACTCTGAAGCATCGATGAACAGAGTATTAAGGATGTCTTGAAAGCTTGTCGATACATGTAGCTTGTCCAATGATTCATAATCTTTACCTTCAATTCTTAACCATATCAAAAAATATGCTTAAGACAAGCCTAAGTGATACTGTGGGGAGATTCGAAATTACCAACACGTCCTCGCGATAAGAGAAAAATAGTTGCCATGGTAACTCTGCTCATGCGTTGCCAAGCACGCGATAGATCCTGTTTGCCATACCAATATTGAATTTCTTTGCTTTCTTCGTGCAGTCGGCTCGGCATGTTTGTTCTAAATAATTATTGCTCGGAGAAACATCAAGTGCACGAGTACATCGTGTATACATAATTATGCGGAGAGAAATCAGGGTGGGTTCTGAGTTTGACCTAAGAGACGTCTGGCGATGACGAAAAAAAATATTACATAAATCATTCAGACTGAGATTGATTACAGCCTTCTTAATCATGGACATGGTTCCCTCCTTCGCAAGCATAATCATAATCATAATCATAATCATAATTGTTCCTTCTCTAGAACATGAAGGAGGGGAGGGGGAGGGATGAATACCTCTTGCCCCATGTATTCGTCAATGTCCGTGTACCTATGTTTCCATCGTTGTATATATAAGACACCTGAAAATACCTTGTTTTAATTCATTTATTCGTTTTCCTCCCACTTCTGTTTACTCACCCGCTCTGTCTTTGTGCCTATATCTCGTTCTCTGCTTCTCTATTTTTCTTTGAAACCATACCCCCTTACCCTCTTCCTCATCCTCCTTCTTCTGTCTTTTTCCCTTCTCACCCTCTCTCCCCTTCCTCTCCCTGACTTCTCTCTCTTGATATATCTGCCTATTTTTTCTATCATTGTTCCTACCTGTCTCCATCTCTCTCTCTCTCTCTCTCCATCTCTCTTTCTCTCTCTCCTAGACACGAAGCCGTTTCGTGCTGCTAGCCTTCTGGTATACGATGATTGCCCTCTCGGTGTCCTTACTCTACTCACTCCGAGGCACGCATCACTCCCAAGATGACTCGGGTACCACATCCAGGCGATCCCGTTTCTACAACTCACTCTTCCCGTTCAGCCGAAACGACGTAGCAGACTACGCTACGTTGACACAGCACGATGTAGCAGACGACATAGTGGCCCCTCCACACGTGGGTGCAACGGGAGAGATAGGGCCGGAGAAAAACGTGGCAATAGACGATAACAAACAAATCCAGCAGCTGATCCTAAGAAATTCAGGTGGAATAGCGGGACAATCAGGGAATTTGATTGGTGACATGCTAAATGATGAGGAACAGAGAACGTTTGAAGTTGTCGAGGAAGAGGTAGCGGAGGAAGAGGAGATTGAAGTTGTTAATGAATTTCGTGATTTAAATGGAAAGAGACCCAGTGGAGACGATCCAAGGGCACCTGTGACGTCAACAATAGATGTGACTTCAATACATTTTGTGAATGCTACTGTGAAGCCTACCCCACCCCCTGAAGTACAGGGATATTATAACGTACAAACCAAAGATGTGAGTGCAGTCTGTTAAACCAGTGGGGCGTTTCACAAAACTTGTCATCAGTGACAAATGACAGTTTTTGTTATAAGCTACTGAAATCCTTGCTTCTGATTGGTTAGCAGCAGATTTGTCACTGATTTTGTCATTTGTCTTTGATAAAAGCTCTGTGAAACGGGCCCCAGGTACATGTATATCAATATGTCGGGAGTCCTATGTTTTACAAAAAAATGAAATAAGGTATCAACGATAATCAACCGTTGATCTAGTATGTTTTACCTGGGAAAACTGGGGGGGGGGGGGGGGGGGGGGGGGGGGGGGGGTAACAGGCTTTCCTTAACAACAACAAAATATGTATTAAACCTTGCAGATCAAACTTTTACTGGGGTAAGGACGTGTCCATTTTGACCCCCTTCCATGGGATCTACCACTAATAATGATGATAATCTTGATCAGGATGAGATATGGTGCAAGGTTGTAGTTCCAGGTAAAGTGCAATGAAAGGTATGCCTCAGGTCATGGAGTTATTAGTAACTCCATGCTCGGGTTAAACCTAGCTTGCTAGCACATACCCTTGTCAGTCGATGTGCGTTACGCTATGATACTACAATAGGCTCTGTATTTAGGTCCCTCCTGACAGAAATTGGCAGATCTAGGCTCTGTTCGAGGTTTTAGGAATTGTGGTAAAGTATCAATGTAGTCGAATATAATGAAAAGATGTGATACCACGCCCATATACATAAACATAGCCCCCCCCCCCCCCCCCAGGTGCCAGTTACATGCTCTTCAAAATATATGAAACATATGACAAATCTGTGAGGTTGAGCCATATTTGATAAGAATATCACGAGGATGGACTGGCAGGAAATGGATGATATACATATTGATAATGAGCTGAACCGAACATAAACGATTTCCATTGAATAATATGAGAGGAAATCATACATTTATTATCTTCAATTCTCAACAACCGGGTTTTCATCAACCGGGACTTATTCTCACTATTATGATCGTGCAGGCGCGTACGCATGGGGGGGGGGGGGGGGGGGGGGGTGTATTATGTATGTTTTTTCGGGAAAACTCCCCCCCCCCCCTTTTGAGTGTTATTTTTTTTATTTTTTTTATTTGATAATAAATATTCTAATGAATGACCTCTTACCCCCCCCCCCCCCTCCCCCGATTATTCAGCGGCTGGCTGAGTCGTTGCGAATTTTTTGTGACAAAAAATATATATATATGTCCTCTTACACCCCCCCCCCCCCCCGCTTATTCAGCGGCTGGCTGAGTCGTTGCGAAATTTATGGCCCGATTTCAAAATGTTAACCCCCCCCCCCCTTGAAAAAAGAAGTCCTGCGTACGCCACTGTGGTCGTACACCGTAGACGCTTCATTGTCCAGTGTGACATTCCCTGTCTTTCGGCAGAACAAATTAGGGACTTTTAGATTTTCGTGGACTGATACGTGTGACGTCCATTCAAGGCCATTAAAAGGACGTCGACCATAGCAATCCACATTGTCTTCGTGCGAATCTAAAAGTCCCTATTAGTGTAGAATTACGTCCTTCATATTCTGCCATTTTACCTGAATGCCCAATCTTAGCTACCTCTGATTCATGAATAATAACTGTCAAGGTTACCGTGTTTAGATTGGGATCAGACATAAGGGATGACTCATGAATCATAGTAATTCTTGCTCTCCGTCATTTACTCATGTTTATGAGGAAGGGCTCCATTTTTAAAAAGAAATGTTCAAAGGTAAAGCGGTCGAAAAATGAACAAAAGTAATGTGTCTGCTGTGCACACGCGACAAATTTGTGTTCACTACCGACAAACGCTCAAAAGCTCTACAGACGTATTCAAAATGGAAAAGTGCGCGAAAAAAGCATGGTGAGTGGCGCGTGTGTGGGGGGGGGGGGCTCTGGGTACGCTGAATACATACATACTTTTTCTAGGGTTCCTCACATTGTGGCAAACCAATGGCACGCTTTGGTTTGACATCGAAGTGGGATGAGGTAACCACAAAACACGGCTCATATTTGGATACTGGAGTTCCGGACTTGAGTGGGTGGTTCTGTATCTTAAGTACGGATAAGAAAGTGAGCCACCCTCTGTAAGGCATGATGTGGAAATCTGCTTGTAAGGATTCCCAAACACACTCAAAACATTCTACTTTCAAGAGTTAACATGGTGGTTTAACGTATTGTGTAAATCGTTTACGTCTTGCTCTCCTCGATGTGTCCATAATTATAAAGGAAGGCAACACCCATCCACCGAACTATTTCTAAAATTTGTCTGTTGACTTCAAAAGCCTAAAATCCTCCCTACATTAAATGATAAATGCTTCTTAAAATGTGTGTTTATTTTTTTTTTATAGCAATTGCAGTATTTCCAGACCTAGTCCATTGTTCGTAAAGAGTGTATTTGGATCAGAAGAATCAAAGCACGACACCCCCTAGTTATCTCAGTTTAATTTAATTGCTAAGTTTGGATGTGGAGCATTGTTCGGTAAAGCTGAGTTTTGTGGTTGGGCATGCAACATTATACAATTTATCTCTACTAAGAATAGATATGTTGGCTAGATTTCACTAAAGATCAGTCAGTATATTTAGACGATACATATTACGTAATTTGGCACGAAATTACCCTATTTAACGACCCTCATGCTGGACATTTTTTCTAAAATTAATCTTGACTCGAAATGCCTGTAGAATCTATGATCATGATGTCTCACGATTACGACCGTATTCCGTAGTCTCCGCATAATTGAGTAACATAGGAGCAATCCTTTATATTATAAAGGGGTGCTCCTATTAATGGGGTAGGATTCGAACAAACACTTCTTATTAATTACATAGAAACTCGCCCATCCTGTTAATTGGTTTTACAAAAAGTTTCATCCAGCCTAACCCGACTATGCGGAGAGTACTGTATGAGTAGAGGCCTTTGAAATCATGTCCACACTTCGTTTGAAAAGGCATGGTGACCATGCCAACTCCTCCAGTCCCCCTCCCCCTCCCTCCTCCGCCCCCTCGCGCTCCCACCTGCTCCTCAAGAGCTGTCTCCTGTACTAATACATACCATCTCGTTCTGGCTGAAGCGATTGAAGCGAGCCACATCAATATGGGAGGCAATTGCTATTCATATCCTGGGGGACATATGCATCCACGTGCGCGTCTGGTTTCACTGTAATCCAATATCTATTGTCAGTTACTCCGTAAGCTGTCTACTGCTCGTGGATATGCATTTCCAAGCTACAAATACTTCCATCTTTCAGAATTTCTAAGGTTATTCATTTTTTTTCTTTTTCCCAGGATGGAGGCCCTTTCTCGCCCATGTCTCGTCCATGTCGAACATTTATGAAGGTTTATGTTTATGGGCGTTATTACACATGCTCTACTTTTTACGATTCTCAGTTTATTGAGGAAAGAATAATTTATATTTAATTTCTCGCTTAGGGCGTTTCACTTTTCTGCAATTCTCATTTGAAATTACACGTAGGCAACGAAATTGAAGTTGTTGTAAATAATTATATACTTATTGTTTGTCATCTAAGATCCCTGATATTGATTTTTGTAATATGGAATATGGTTGTTTAAAAGTAATAATAATATTTGTCTACGAAGCTGTCATTAAATATAACTCTTATTCTCATCTCCTTCAGAAACTGCGCATGCGTTGTTCACAGTGCGCCCTCGTCTCCAGCTCTGGTCATCTCGTCAACACGTCTGCCGGAGCCGAGATCGACAGCTACCCGTGCGTACTTCGGATGAACTCGGCGCCTGTTCGGGGATACGAAGTCGATGTCGGAAGACGAACGACCATCCGAATCATGGGTCATGTAAACCTGAAGGTGCTGAATGCAAGTAACGAGCTTCAGGATGAGATTCTCATCAATTCAACTACGAGAGCCGAAAAGGTATCATGGTTGTATAGGGCTTAATTTTTACATTCTAATCAGTGAAACTTGAAAACTTGTTATACCGAAACCGTAAATCATTATTCCAATTAGAAGGGGAAAAAGAAGAAGAAGAAAAAGAAGAAGAAAACAAAAAGAAGAAGAAGGGGATTAAGGACGAGGATGAAGATAAGGAGGAGGTTTGATGGATGAATAGAAGAAAATATAATGGATTGAAAGGAGGAGAGGGAGAGAAAAAAAAGCGTTTATCATATGGGTGAGATCATTATTTTTCTTCAATCTAATAAATGCTTGTTCTCTTCTCTTCAGATCATCGTACCATGGTTGTACAACGTCAAGGTGAACCAAGCTACAGATATGTATTACAAGAGCGCTCGTAACCTATCCAGTCTCTATCCACACGTTGAGTTCTACCTTCTTACTCCAGATAAGATGAAGATTGCTGAGAGTCTGTTCCAAACAGAGACAGGTCTTACCAGGTAAGTTAGTCCAGGACCAGATCCAACAAACTACTCACGCATTCCGAGAGCTAGTCTTTAGGCTTCAGACCAGGGAACCGACAGCCCAGGAGACCGCCACTATCGATCTTGTGATCCTTCAGAAAATGTATCTGAGAGTTCACACAACCGCCGGTCCAACCAGACCACCAGACCATGAGACTGACATCTCGGTCACGCGGGCTTTGTGACAACTTAACCTTTGGACCTTCAGCAAAGCTACCCGAGGGATCACGAGACCTGCACCATGGGACCGCCAGTCCACGTAACCGACATGTCCGTCCTTGGCCCTTGTGACAACTTATCTCGGGTTATACGAAAGACTGACATTGTCGACTGAAATTGTCGGTTCTGTTTGCTGTCAGTCTACTGGGATGTCCCTAGACTTGGAGGACATAACTTTGGCTTAGTTTTAATGCTTTTATTTATACTAACCTTCCACAACGTGACTCGATCTTATATCATACTGTCCACATGTCACTGTCCCTACAAAATGTTATAAGATGTTGTGCCTTTGAACACGTCGTTTTGAAAGAGATATGCCCTGTCAATTCGTTGTCTTTTATCTCAAGAACCACAACGATTAGGACCAACGAATATCGCGAAAAGTGACTTAGGCTATCAAAGACATGTCCCTATTCGGGATTATTCAGCAGGATAATTTCGTATTAAGAGTACTCGATAGCACAGCACGCTTGCACAAATTTGCAACAAAAGTCATTATTTATGCAAGTTTATACCTTTCTGCTTTGCGTCAAACATTATTGGATAAGATAATGATTGATGGGTTGTTAATAAGTAATTTACTCACTTAAACCTGAGGTTACTTTTCATTCAAGACCATTAATTAATTCCGTTCGCGATTCATCCATTAGAAAGTGAAATTTGAATGAGAACAACACAAACGAACATTAAAACTGGACGTCTTTGTGTGAGGAAATGTGTTTGTTTCAAACAAAATAGAAGGAACCGAATGTGGCCTTTACAGTCGATACAGCTGTACATCATGAACGCCCCCTCCCCCGCATGTCATCCGTTATTGGCAAGTTGAAGCCAGGTGAAATTGCTCCTCTGTTACGGGGGTGAGACACCTATCAACATTTACGGTTCATGTCTATGCATAAAGCCTCGGTCACAAATGCCATTACGAACTGCTTCGAACGCCGTACGAACGATTTTCAGGCAAGGGACATTCGGGAAGACAATGGAAAAACAGGGAAATTTGTACGAAATTATCGTTCGTACGAACCTTTGTGGCCGTAGCGTAACACTACAACTATGGTAGACTGCTATAGCTTTGAAACATGAAGCGAAAGATCGCCCCTATTCCGTACATGCGAGATCTAAATTGCTGATTTCCGACAGCGTGACAATAGCGAATTTATTTTTCGACATTGCGGTGGTATCTCGTATGATTTCCTGTCATAGCCCTTGTTTGACTTGGTCGATATTCATATCAATACCAATCCCTTTAATCTCTTTCAGAGGATTCAAAGGCAGAGTTCAGAAACTTTGTGTGTCCTGCAGCATATGGGAAACGACAAATAATATGGTCAACAGATTAAGAACACAAAAGCACAAAGAGTTTCAAGCCATTGAGAGCAGTCGGTATAGGCATGTTGCTATGTTGGTTGCAGCAAGTCTGTAGGCAATAACGGGGAAAAAACGCTGGATTAACAAACCAAAGTTTGTTACAATCTTAACATGATTGTTCTGTATTTATAGTACTAAAAATTGGTTTGTATTATTTTAGTCTTGTACATTTTCAAACTGCGTGCATGTACAGGCTTCCTCAATCTTGCTAGAAATAGAATCTCATTCAAATGATCGATGATTATCAAAACTCATCGTTTGGCAGTTCCGGTTGCAGTAGTCAGACGCGAATTAAAAATAAGAAATCAGATATTATACATTATCATAACTACGTGTATTACAAACATCAGACATCATGTCTTGTAATTTCTGAGCGATTGCGAACAACCATTAAAATGGTATACCTTAATAGAAAGTGATTTTGTATGTATACATCAGGCACGAGTATGATGGCGCTATTGCAGAAAAGGAGATGCCAGACATTGCTTTTGAAGCGTTTATACTTTATTAACGAACTAAACATTGCATTTTTAAATATTGCGAAAAAGTCCATTACTAACAAGAACTAGATAGAGATAGATAGATAGATAAATGGTTTATTCAAATCAAATCAAACATGTAAACAATAAATGTTCATTAATTCCATGCTTCGTAGCTAAAAACTAAATTGCGCAATGGATTACAGAATTAATTATTACAAGGTAAAATTGCACTTACTAATAATAAACTACTATAGATAATAATGCAACTCTTGGCACCGGCGTCGAACCGCTGCGCCACCCCAGTCACCAGTGGGGCACGAAACAGTAAGATCATATACCCCCCTGATGAATAGCACGACGCAACGGATCAACACCCATGCATACAATATACAGCACAATTCACAGTGAAATAATGAATACAAAAGGACAGGTATGGCGGAGGAGAAAAAGAAAGGGGGAGGGAGTATAAGAAAATGATAACTTTTACATGATTAAAACATTACATACTTAACAAGAAATACATGCGTAATACTGTACATGGCAATTAACTGGTTTAGAACATTTCAACTCTGAAAATAGTAGTGTTGCATGTGGAAAATTACAAAATATAAATCTATGTTTAGCATTAATCGTTCAATTTTCTATGAAATCACATTTTTTGTGAATGAATAAATACTATAGGTCATGCTTTAAATATGGTACATGTATTATAATGCTCGAGTGATTTATCCAGTTAATTAGTAAAGAGTAAAAAAAACATGATCCAGTTTAGCTAAGGTGAATTAAATCTATTTAAAAAGGCTGGGATGTAATAAACAAGATCCTAAAACATAACCATGTTGGCAGGCGCAGGCACGGTAGGTTATCTATTGAAGTGAGGGGATGAACAAAGAAAACAACAACAGACATCCTCCTCACTAACAATAGACCACTCCTCCGCGTCTACGCCCGAAGGTTTCATGCATTGGAAATAAGCAATAGTAATAATCCCAAACTATATGTTTTAAAAAACATTATTTTAATTTCAAAGTGAGTAATTAAAAACATGCAAATATCATTTAAAATCAGTCATACTAAAGTCTGTTTGCCCCTCTATTAGAGTTTATACAAAGTTCAATTAAAGTTCAATAATTTTGTCATGAATGGAATAGGGCTGTTTTGGTATCGATTTGTACGACACCTAGGCTCACGATAACGTTTATTTTTTCTCAGATTTCTTGTTGGATTGTTTTCGGTGAACCAGTCACTACCAACTTCAGACCTAGATGCTTTCGTTGCAAAGTTAATGCACAAAGTCTTTCTACGTGTCTCTAGATCCACGATTCTAGCCAAATCAAGTGACGTATTGTAGGAGGTACCAGGAAAAATCAATCGTAGCTTTTATCTTTCCCGCATCATATCTTTTTAGCGCCAAAAGGGTGTTATCTCTTATACTTTAACACTAATGTAACGCCCTATTAAAACAGACATTATTTTTTTCAGTTTATAGAAAGAGTTTTAGGCTGTTTCACATCAATCTTTAGCGAGTATATATATATTTTTTTAGTCAATCGATTTGGGCTTCCAGAGGTGTAGTGTTCTTGTGGATATGTTATCGAACTGTATATTAATTTACATTTGCTACTCCCCACCCAGGTAAAGTAAAATAATTTGTAGCTGTTAGGGTTGTACTTCTTAAATAGGTTTAACGCCCTAGGGCAGCTGGGCTAAAACCTGGGTGAGAACAGTACTGTTTTGGCAACTTGAGTATACCCTGGGAGGGATACGTGAGCTATATAAAATAATGAAGCTATTCTTATCATTATTATTTCATGCAGCATTTTATTAAAATATTTTGATTTTGTGTCTTTCGTTGCAGGCAAGAAGCTCGCACGTGGCTTTCAACGGGATGGATGAGTATGCTCTATGCTGTAGATGTATGCGACAAAGTGGATATCTTTGGCTTGGTTCCAGAAAACTACTGCTTGTAAGCAGCCATGATTGATTATGTTTGTTGATAAGCCTTTACCACGGTCACACCGACCAGATTGACACCAGAGTGTCGTTTCATGAAACAGTCATAAGTATTAAACTTCACCGATGTCTCATTGTAACTTGTGTATTGTAAAAGAACGCGCATTTCAATGCCATATCGGTGAACATGACAGTTGTCATGAAGCGATGCCCAGACCGAAGAGATAGCGAACAAACTATTGCATTATTCGGAGTGGCCTAGATTTGATTGGTTTCGGTTTTCGATTTTACTGGTGTGGTCGTTGTGACGGTGAGACTGGGTGCTATTCTTTACACTTTCGTTTTCAAGAAAATGCGTCGTAAAACTATTCCCTGAAAAGACATACCATTGATAAAGCGTTTTAATGCAAAGTTCTTGTTTGGTCGCCATTTAGATATGCCATTTTAAAAACAGCATCAATTGAGTTTGAACCTATTAATCAACTGCTCTCTATCCCCTCTCTCTCTATCCATCTCTGTTATCATTGAGAAGTTGACAGTTGTATATATTTCACCGTAATTTGTATCTGACCTGATATTGTCTTATCTGTTGCCCCTTTACAGGAAGAATCCGAATTCCTCCGTCTTGTACCACTACTACGAGTCAGATGGCCTAAAAGAGTGTGATTATTACACGATCAGTGAGGAGCGACTCACATCGGGTCACAAGTTCATCACCGAGAAAGCTGTCTTTGCACGCTGGGCGACCAAGTTCAACATGGAATTCCACCTACCAGCCTGGAACCTCACGGACGTTGCCCATACTAATTCCATTGAGACGCCTTTCTTGAAAAAGTTTTACGCGGCAAAGCGAAGTGGCACATTACCAAAGATATCGAACGGGACTAGGATTATACGAAGGGTGGTGAAGCGTGTAGTTAAGAAGGTTATTATACGCAGGAAGGTGCCTGTGGTCCAGAAGAAAGCGGTACCGAAAACATGACGTAAACAATCCTGACTTTGCAAAAACCAGCTTGTGCTTTATAACCAATGTTTATTGATTGTTTTTTTGAGTAAAGTGATTTTTTTAACGATTTTAATTTTCCCCGAATTCTATATGGATATCCACGTTTTCCGCAAACTGCGGAGGCAAAATAATACAGTTATGTCCATTTTCGACCATGTGTAAAATTAATCGATATTTCAACTATTTATGAGTGAGATTTAGGTCACTTGATTGTAAGTCGCTAACCGATTAACGATTTACGGAAGGGGGGGGGGGGGTCAGAGCGAAATGCCCAAAGTCGAAAATAAGTGTGGGGGGGGGGGAGTCAATCGTGTAATTGTAGACAAGTCTCTCACAATTTAAAATTTGACAAGAAGTTATGATGAAGGGGAGGATTTCGCATCTGTCCCCATTTTTGCAATGCCACTACTAATAAATCTATACCGTCTACGTCTTTTTAGCCTTAATGTTTATATAAAGATATAATGATTACACTGTGTCACTTTTACAATTATGTACAGACAGTATGTATTTTAGTTCATACCGAAAATGCTGTGAATGAATAGTTTCGTGGCAATAGATAAGTTGGTGCTTGTAGCTGCATAAGTAATTTATTTGAAACGAGTATTATTTTTAATGACTTATTTTTTATTTCAATGTGTCATATTTCATTATACTGCGGCTCTCACAAAATGGACAGTTACCGTCATGATATCGCTATCCATACGATGCTTGATATGTTAAACCTTTAAAAGGGCTTCTACTGCTTTGGTTTTCGTTGTATATGCTGTCAGACAATGATACAAATAATTATTTATAGACATACGACGACTACTGTCTCTGTATACTGTTTCATTGTCTGGTTATTTTCTAGTAAACTAAATAAGCAAGTGAGTTGTTTTGTTTCGTTCGTTAAAAACATATAATAAATATTCGTGTAGTGACTGTCAAATATATTCTGTTGGTATAGTGTGACGACAGGACTCGAGATAAATCACATTTTGTTTGTTTCTTTTGAATTTCTCACAAAAATAATGATAGGCCCATTTTCTTTGAGTTGATTGATGTTACATGATTTATTCTTTCATAATGACTTATCTTTATATGACCATGTAAAACGCGATGCCGTGTCGGAAATGATCAAAGTATAATTTGCCAAGGTAAGGATATTACTGGGTTGAGTTAAAGCTTACAAAGATTAGATCAAATTAATAAGTAATGCTTAGTAATGTCTTGCCTATGATAATATACGAGCCTGCCGTCGAACAAACGATTGTGCGATACGATTTAGATTAAGATTATCTTCACAAAATTCTGTACCTTTCAAGTTTAAATCGCAAAAAGTTTAATTGTTTGTTAAACGTTTTCTGTTTCCATTTTCTTTCTTTCTTCTTCTTCTTCTTCTTCTTCTTCTTCTTCTTCTTCTTCTTCTCCTTACCCTTTTCCTTCTCATTCTCCTTCTTCTTCTTCTTCTTCTTCTTTCCTTCTTCTTCCTCTTCTTCTTCTCATTCTTTGTCTTCCTCTTCTTCCTGTTATCTCCTTTACAGCATGAAAAGCTGATATGGAAGTTATCGGAGGAGTGCAATTAGTTGAAACATTTAGGCCTAGCATTACTACTTTACACTGTGACGAATTAAAGTCTCATACTTTTAGTGATAAAACGTAATTTTCATTAATTTATTTATTTCTGTTAGGTAAAAAATGAAATTAAAGATATTGCAACGCTGTGCCTTGATATTATAGTGTATTACTTCAATTTGTGAAACATTGTTGCCAGTATTTATAAGAATGAACAAATTTAATTCCAGTTTAGAAATTATACTTGGTGAATTGAGTCATCCCACCGGTTGTAAAGCCCAAGTGTGGGCGTATATGTTATTTCGATGATGTAATCTTATGATTGAGCATAAGTTATGAATTCATGAAATCCGCTTTCATTTTCATTACTCTGACATACTAATTCAGTTTTTTTAATTTTGTGTTTCAGAATCACGTGATGTAGATAGAATGATAATGTGGTGGACACTTTGTGCTCTGTAAAGTAATACACTTTAGCAAAGTATAAATAAGCCCGCTTTTACGGGCCAATATAACGAATGATGTCATCAACACGGGGCAATACATTAGTCGTATGAAATATCATACTTGTAGATTATTATGTAATGAATATTCACTTTCATTGTGAGAGTACAGTTATTCAAGAAATAAATTATTGATTTCCTCACGACTCTCAAGTCAATGTATCGGAGTGTCATGTATCAATGATTATGATTGTATATTGAGAAAACCCATCGCATGATAACAGTACTAATGCACAGGGAATATGTGTGGGGGAGGGAGGAAGAATTGCCCACCCCCCCCCCTCCCCCCACTAAAAAAAAAGTACCACCGCTAACGTCAACGTTATAGTTATTTGTTTTTCAGCACGTTTTGAAACTTATGTGTGTGCGTGTAATTGTGTTTTTACAGACGTGTATCAATCAGATATGATTATTTACGTCTGGGGACCGACCTTTAACGTCACCATCCGAAAGAGCCCCTCCCCTCCTTATAAAATACCCTGGCACCGCCACTGTTTCGCGTTTAGTTTCGATAGATTCAGTCGGCTGGTATGAAAATTCTTTCCAAATGTGACCTGAACATTATTGAGCAGTGCATAACACGATCATTGTACTTCATGGTCAATGTGTCCTATTATCAAGAATATACACCTGTTCTGTTGCTTGGAACGAGTCAAGGTGGAAGAAATCCAAGGTCATAAATTCAACATCTGTGTTTAATATAAGTACAGTAGCTGGAGTCATTGGCGTGGCCTAACATAGGCCAAACTATTGAATATGATTGGCTTCTATAGTGTTAGATATTGGGAACAAGGTTATCCAATGAAAGGACGGTGTTATCTTTCTTTCACATTGTCTCACCCTTTCCTTTTTTCTTTCATTCATTTATTCATTCATTCTTTCTTTCTTGCTATCTTTCTATCCATCTCTATATCTTTATTTCTTTCCTTTTTTTCTCTTTTTGTTGCGTAATTTGTCGCAATTAGTGTGTTTGGGGGAGAAGAGGGGGGGGGGGTGTCCATGTTGTTATGATTATTGCCGATCGAGCGACAGAAATCCTCATTTAAAAATGCAAGCGAAGATAATTTTTTTTGTAAAGACGTCGTTTGTAGAAGTGATGTAAAGGCAATCGAAAATTAACGCAGGGTTCATGTCAAACTGTGTAGGTATAAGTAAGACGTGATTTTTACTGATATTTATTGATGACTTGATGTTATATACTCACCATTGTAATTTACAGTCAAATCTGTCTTAGTGGCCACCTCTGTATAAAAGTCACCTGTCTATAGTGACCATGCGTCTTGTCTCTCCTTCGAGAGAGAAATGTGTGTAGAACATGGCTATTAAGGCTACTTTTAGACAGTGGTAACTGATTATGTTTCCCTTGGTGGCCTCAATAGACAGGTTCGACTGTAATTCCATTATATTTGATCGCATTGTTCTTCTAGTTGAATTGTGGGTCTGACTATGAATATACATGTTTTGTGCAGTATCTTTCTCTGTAGCAAGCAATGGAAGCATATTTTTGCACATTTTGCATATTTTGCAACTATTGCGGAAAAGAAATGAAATGTGTGCCATAACGAAGACTATCTTGTTCGAAACTGAAATAACATACTAGAGGTCAAAAGTAGTGGCATTGATTCTTTTTTTTAAACTTCCATATCCGTATTCCTCAAGCCACTGAACAAACTTTTCATCTTTTAAATGCACGAGTAAGTTTTAAAGGCATTCAGGAGATCATAGCTACATTAAACTGAATTGCTAATTCGAAGGTGACATAATATAGTGACGTGTAGGTCAGTAGAAGTGTTGGGAAGAGTCTAACTTGAATTCGGTGCATAATATGCAGCCACATTTAATAAATTCAATCTAACCTTTTTTTTAGGGGGTGACTATACATTATCTGCAAAGTGTATAAATACAGGGTAAGTCATTTCTAAATTATGTATTCCTTTTAAGGGCGTGGTATGAGCTTTGGACAAATTTTCCGAAAAGAAAACAAATGCCAATAAGAACTGCAGTTCATTTGAACATCATTGCCGAGAGCAGTTATGAATAATTGTCAACAAACAATAAATGTGGAGAGTGATTTGAGTTATAACGCAAGTTGCAGTCGTCGCCACATAAAGTAGAATGTTATTTTGTCACGTAATATGAAGTCGGGTTGGTGTAAGCTCAAAAGCTCAAACGTAACACAGCTTGAATAAGATATACAGCAATCGTAACGACTCTCAAGAATTCAATATATTTCAATACCCTTTTGTATCGCCTACACAGATAGCACGCGGATTTTGGAATTGCCTTACGTTGATTTTTCGAAAGTCTTTGCGATCGTTGTTTTGTATGTATGTATGTATGTATGTATGTATGTATGTATGTTTGTATGTATGTATGTATGTATGTGTATCACGAAGAATATGTTTGTAATCGTCTTTGTTTATAAATTATGTATGTGCCTTTTTATTGAATGTAAAACATTATTTGATCACTATGTGAACATTTTGATGATGAATCATGTCGAATTATTGGTATTATTAAATTGATCAAAAATACACCTCGTTCCTCTCACTGTCTGTCTGATGTTATTTATGATAAATCGGGTTTTACCCAGTGCTTGGTTTATGACATAATCCTGGTTTGGACAAGATCTTTAATAGCTTTGCAAATTTGGTACTGGATATAAAGAACAATACCATGGTCCGCATGGGACGGGGACTCGTATGGTTAGTTTGCTGAAGGCTCATAATTTTGAACAGACA